TGCGAGGGTTCCGACGTCCTTGGCACGCCCACAGCAGACGGACAAGGATGGAGCGGTGCTCCACAGCGAACGACTCTGTGGTGCAGCGGTGCACGGTGCCCGCTGTCCAACACCGACTCTGTGGCCGCTGTTGCGCAGGAGACGCTCGTGCCGGACAGGCAATCCTCGCGGCGACAACGACAACGAACGCTGCCGCCTCACGTGGAGACAACCGCAAAAACACAACATGTCAGAAGTCCGCGCGGAGTCTTGCGCTGGACCCCGCTCCCTGGCGCGCCTGAGCGCACCACGAAGGCGGCGCCGAAGGCGCCGCCTGGGGGGGGGGCAATGCCGATCCAAGGAACCCGCGCGAACCTCAATGATATATTATTTTGTTGTCTCCTCTTCGCCCGAAGTGAACTGTCCTCGATTTTAAGGTTAGGTCGGGCATGTCCTCCTACGGGCGGATTTCGGACGAAAACATAAAACATAGTCAAACAATACTCGAAAATCGTCAAAACATAGGGGGACGTACCCGACTTAATTTTAAGGTGAAGCCATGGGGCGATTGGCCTAGGATTCGTCCCAGGAGTGCCAAGAGCATCTGGCGGCCGTAGTTTCGGGAGCCCTGGCTGAAGCGCAGGATATCTTCAGGAGATACAGAAGTACTGACTACCTGCCAGATCCCCGGGGGTCCCGACCCCCGGGGGTCCATCTGGTGCAAATTTTGACACCGGATACGTTTTTACAGCATAGGGCCCGAAAAAGGCCGCCGGAATGGCGACCTCAGACACCCAGCCGGCTCAAATTCCGGGGTATCTAGCGGCCCTCTTTTCTGGAGCCCTAGCCTTAGGAAGAAAAGGACATCTGGGAAACACATGTCGGCGGCGAGGGAAGTGAGAAGGTGCGGGACTTCTCAGAAGGTGTCACAAGGCTCAGAAGTCCCCAGCCTTCGTGAGAAGGTTTCTGAATTTCTAAGCCTTCCCCGAAGACACAGAGAACTCCTCAGAAGGCTGGAGGGCTTCTGAGAAGCCCCGCCGCCTTCTGAGAATTCCTTCTCCTTCTCATACCCCCCTCGCTCGCCGCCGAACCTTGATGCGAGGCGGGGATTTACACATATCCACCGCCTGCCGGCGGTGGATATGGATATATATATATATATATATATATATATATATGTGTGTGTGTGTGTGTGTGTGTGTGTGTGTGTGTGTGTGTGTGTGTGTGTGTGTGTGTGTGTGTGTGTGTGTGTGTTTGTGTGTGTGTGTGTTTTTGGCCCCGGCGGGACCCGACGATGTCCACTTCCACCGCCTGCCGAGGTCCCCCAAAATTGTTCCTCCAGGCGGCAGTAATGTAGAATTGCTCCTGAGAAAGACCTGGCCAAGTGGATGGTTTGATCGATAAGGAGATCGACCAGGAACCCGGGAACCCGGGAACCCAGCGAAATCGGCCCAGAACCAATGACCGGGAACTCGGGAACCCAGAACCGGGGACCCTGGAACCCGAGAACCCAGCAGGCTACCAAAGTCGGCGGGAAACGTTCGCCAAATCTTTCAACTTCCGCTGGGACCCCTTCACTGCAAGCACTGATTGAGGAAGATTCCCGCCTCGTACGTTGAGATCCTGATGCGTCTCGTTATCATTAGGTCGGGCGTGTCCCCCTACAGGCGGACTTTGGACAAACAAATAAAACATAGTCGAAACATGCTACAACATGCTCCAAAAATGCTCACAACATTCTTCCCAGACTATTTGTTGGGACGCTTTTGTCAATATTCCCCCTGAGGGAAAGGCCCGATGGTGCGTCTCGTGGTCATCTCGCCCGCCCGCTCGCCCGCTCGGCAAGCTGTGCTGCGTATTTGGCTCGTTTGTCATCGTCTGTGTCGTCGGCCTCCGGCTCAGCAGCGGCCTTGGCATCGGGCGCAGCCGCCCGAGGAGCACGGGTGAACCTCGGCTTGTCAGCCGTCGGCTCGGCGCCTTGTCCCGTGCGACGCGCGTCTGCGATCGTCTCCTCGCCCGCTCGCCCGCTCGGCACATCTCCTCTCCGCTCGCCCGCTCCGCCCACCCCCTTTTTTCTGCTGGAGGAGGAGGGGGAAGAGGAGGAGAAAGAGGAGGAGGAGGATGAGGTGGAGGAGGAGGAGGAGGAGGAGGAGGAGGAGGATGATGAGGAGGAGCAGGAGCAGGGGGAAGAGGAGAAGAAAGAGGAGGAAGAGGAGGAGGAGGAGGAGGAGATGGAGGAGGAGGAGGAGGACCCTCGCCGACTCTCCCGTCGACCGCCCCAGGCCTGCCGGAGGGGGGCGCCCGCCGCCGCCGCCGGCGGGGCCACCTGGGAGAGCAGAAGCGAGGGGGGCCCTGGGGCACGCAAGGACGTACATGCACACAGAGCCAGGGATTCCCCGGGGATTTCCCCTATATTTGCCTGGTCTTCGTCTTCCCCCGCGCTTCCATCTTTTCCCCTCTATCTTCCTGGAAAGCGACGGTTCAGTGTGTCTGTGTGTTTTTCGCCTCCTGGGCATCCTAGCCCGGAGGGACACGCGGGGATCCTCAACAATCTTGAACGGTCGGCCGCTTGCGAAGCGTCGGATCTTTTGGCGGCGCGCGAGGGGGGGGAATCGAGACGGAGAAGGCCTCGTCAGAAGGCTCGCGGAAGCCCACGGCCTTCTGACAAGTATAGTGGGCCTTCCCTTGAGCAGGGACCGACCGTCCCGGCATTTCTATAGGCCTACCACGACATGTTCTTAGAACCCAGAAATGTTCTAAGAACAGAAACGATGTTCTTAGAACAAACACCCGATGTGATAAAACAGGACAGACTCAGCCGGACATGTTCTAAGAACATGTCGTGCAAACCGCCCAAGGTTCTTAGAACATTCTTTGGTTGGCCTATAGGCGAGCCAGGACGCTTCGCCACTGCTTGATTCCCAGGAGACACAACAAACCTCAGAGAAACCCGAGGCCTCTGAAGAGTGTCGCCGCCTTCTGAGAAGGCCTTCTTCTTCTACTTCTCACGTCCCCCCCTCGCTCGCCGCCGAAGATCGTTCCACATCGACCGATTCTGGGTCTCCGGCCGCGTTCAGCGTTGAACTCTGGCGGCGGGGTCACCGCCGGTCAACACGACCCCAACCTACAGGAAGCATCAACGTTCTCAAGGCCGCGCGTATTTCTCGAATGGGTCCCAAAACGTCGCGGTGATCTTGTGCGAACAACAAATTTGCCGTGGAACTTCCGTGGACCACTTCAACAGAAACCCTCTATAGATTCAAAGGAAAACAAGCAAGAAAGGAAGACCGAGAAATGCGCTGCCCTTGAGGAAGGCTATCCCAACCGCGCGCAACACGGACAACCGAGCACGCGCATTGCATTGCAATGTTTGTTACGATCGTAGGCAAAAGACATGTCCGTTCCCACGGCCTCGCGGGCAGGGCCCCCGGGCCGCGACCCCGCGGAGACGGGGCGCTTTTCCGCGGGTGACCCGCGTGGAAGGTATCTGTGCGAAAACGTATCAGCGGGATCGGGCCCCAGAGTCCAGACCGCGAGGGCACAGATACGGATATGTTGGCCGCTCGTGAGGTGATAACTTGCGCGGTGACCTCAGAATTCTCAGAAATAGACCTCACAGCAAGGTCCACCCCCGCACGGGTTTGGGTCTTGAGGGCCCTATGACGGACTCCGCGGATTTCTTGGATGGGTAGCGCGCTTCTTCCCATGCGCTCCCTGCATCTAAGCAAATAGGTTGACTACGTCGGGCCCCGGAGCTGTCGGCCCCGTCGTTTACGCACGCAGAGGGCATCATGCACCACCACCATGCCTGGCCATGGCCAGTCACGGT